AACCTTCTACTAGGTATTTACCCAAGGGAAATGAAAGCATATGTCCATAGAAAAACTTGAATATGCATGTTTTATTTGTAACAACTGCCTCCCCGCACCATCCCTAATCTCTGGCAACCAGTACTCTGTCTTCTAGGTCTAAAATTTTGTCATTTCAAAATTGTTGTATCAGTAGAATCAATACTAATTGATTCCTTTGAGATTGGGCTTTTTTTTTTTTCCACTAAGCGTAACATTTCCTGGAGATTCACTCAAGTTGTGGCATGTATAGTTTATTTCTTTTTATTGCTGAGTTATATTCATGGTATATGTTTATACTGTAATATATTTTTATGAGTCATTTTAAAATACAAAATTATTATCATTATCTGCTGCTAGTAAAGCGCTCCAGTAATTTATTTTGCAGTTGTTGAGTGGCATGTTCTCTAGATATTCTTTTTTTTTTTTATTCTCACCTGAGGACATTTTTCCATTTTTTGTTCAGACAGAGTGGGAGGGAGGGAGAGAGAGAGAGAAACATTGACATGAAAGGGACACATCGAGTGGTTGCCACCCGCACGACCCAACCAGAGCTGGGGACAAACTGCAGTCGAGGTACGTGCCCTTAGCAGGATCTGAACCCAGGTCTCTCTGGACCGCAGGCCAACACTCCAACTGCTGAGCCAAACCGGCCAGGTCTAGATATTCTTACAGTATATAATACAAATAACATACAAAATTTGTGTTAATCAGCTGTTATCAGTAAAGTGTCCAGTCAACAATAGTTAAATTTTCGAGCGTCTAAAGTTATACATGGATTTTTCAACTGTGTGGGCTTCAGCACCCTAACCTCTGCATTGTTCAAGGGTCAACTGTAGCTGTTTGTCTACCATTTTGCTATTATTTCTTTCTTTTTTAAAAATGTTTTTATTGATTTTTTAGATATAGAGGAAAGGAGAGAGAGAAACATCGATATGAGAGAGAAACATCAATCAGCTGTCTTCTGCCTGTCCCCTAATGGGGATTGAGCCTGAAACACGGGCATGTGCCCTGACTGGGAATCCAACCGGGATCTCTCAGTCCATGGGACATCGCTCAATCCACTGAGCCACACCAGCTGGGCTCATCTTGCTATTTTTCCTATCTGTACTTGTGTCTTTTATTTCTGACTTGTAGATTGAGAATATTTTAAAAGTCCATTTTATCTCCTCTATTGGGTTTTTATTATTATTATTTTTTTATCCTCACCCGAGGACATTTTTCCATTTTTTGTTCAGGTAGAGTGGGAGGGAGAGAGAGGAACAGAGAGAGAGAGAGAGAAACATCAAAACATCGATGTGAAAGGGACACATCGAGTGGCTGCCACCCGAACAACCGACCAGGGCCGGGGACAAACTGCAACCGAGGTACATGCCCTTAGCGGGAACCGAACCCGGGTCTCTCCGGGCCACAGGCAGACGCTCTAACCGCTGAGCCAAACCGGCCAGGGCTATTGGGTTTTTAGATGTACATTTTTTTGGTGGTTGCTGTAAGAATTACAATCTGAATCTTTAACTTATCCCAGTTTGCCTGAATTAATACTATATTTCTTCATGTACAATGTCAGAACTTTACAACAGTATAATTCCATTAGTATCTTCCCCCACTTGTTATAAAACTAACAATATATTGTTATTTTTAAATAGTTATTTGTCCCTGGCTGGTTTTGCTGAGCGGTTAGAGCGTCAGCCCATGGACCAATGAGACCTGGGTTCGATTCCAGCCAAGGGTACGTACGTCGGTTGCAGTTCTTCCCCGACCCTGGTCGGGGTCGCGTGGGAGGCAACCAGTCGATGTGTCTCTCTCACATCGATGTTTCTCTCTCTCTGTCTCCCTCTCTCCCTCCCTCCTAATCTGTCCAAAGATAAATGGAAAAATAAATAATAGTTATTTGTATTCAAATAAATGAGGAAAAGAGAAAAAAGTCCTTTATACATAGTTGCTTTTTCTGGTGCTCTTTATTTCTTCCCCTAGACCCAAGCTTCCACTTAATGTCATTTCCCTTTAGCTTGAAGAACTTCCTTAGCATTTTTTATGGTCTGGGTCTCCAGGCAATGAAACTGGGCACCTGTCATTCAATAAGGCTTGCTACCATTTGTTGCATTATAGGATTCAGACAACACTAGCAATTTCCTGGGAATACACTGACCCCAGGCCCCAACCCCAGCAACCCCAATCCTGGTAGTCTGAAGAGGAGCTGGGTCTGATGGTGATCAGAGAGGTCCCCGAGAATGAGGTACCTGCAATAGCTTCCCACAGTGGCCCAAAGCCCAGTCTTCCTTCCGGTTGTTTTCCCACAACGAACTTAGGGTCCACCTAAACCTCCTGCTAGAGCAGGAGCAGCTAGACTGCTATGTGGGCTGAGTGTTGTCTCTTCAAGGCCTGATAATGTCACCCTTCAGAGCCCCTTTTCTGATCTCTTTATGGACTACAGATAGCAAAGGGTGGCCTCCTGGTGGTTACAGATGATCTGTCCCTCCTGCCCATCTTCCCTGCACTGGTAACAGACTGACCACTGGCAGGCAGGCTTCTCAGAGCCTCTCTTAGCCTCCCAGAGGTTTTGTTCAGAGGTCTCAACTTTTTCAGAAGGAACTTGGCTACTCAGCTCTCATGAGTCTTTTATGCTAAGGACGTTTCTTCAAGGTCAAGAGTCATGTCCACTTTAATATCTACTTTCGGGGCCTTACCTGCAGACTCTTTTGATTGTTTGGGTATTTTTCTTCACAAGCCTTTATGCTGCCTCCCTGTCTTCCTCCTTCTGAGTTCCTTTTCCCAAGCCTGCAGTGGCCTCTACAGAGGCCAAGCTTGCTATTTGCAGCAAGCAAACCTAGGATGACAGTCTCTTTTCTGTCATGTGGTATAGCGTGGGCAGCCAGACTGTCCCCCTCTAACTGGGTGCCCATGGGCACATCCTATCACCCCTAAGCCCTTGCAACTTAAATTTATTCACCTTTAACAGGGCTGTTGTGAAGATGAAATGAGATTAATCATGGGAAATATTTAGTATAGAATCTGGAAACTGATTAGGCATTGTGGTTACAGCCCTGCTCTCATACATTTTTCTCAACTCCCTTTCCAGTCTCAACTCATTTGCCAAAGGGTTTGGCTCCTGTATGTTGCTGGGTATTCAAGAATGTGACCCCAGCCCTGGCTGGTTTGGCTCAGCGGTTAGAGCGTCGGCCTGCGGTCTGGAGAGACCCAGGTTCGGTTCCCGCTAAGGGCACGTACTTCCATTGCAGTTTGTCCCCGGCCCTGGTTGGTCGTGCGGGTGGCAGCCACTCGAGGTGTCCCTTCACATCGATGTTTCTCTCTCTCTCTCTCCCTCCCACTCTATCTGTACAAAAAATGGAAAAATATCCTCGGGTGAGGATTAAAAAAAAAAAAAAAAAGGAAAGAATGTGACCCCATTTTGCAGAGCACTGCTGGCTTTCACATTTGGCCTCCCACAAAGGGATGTCAGGCCTCAGACACTGGCAGGTGGGTCCTAGGGACTTGCCACATGCTCTCTCAGTTTTCAGGACCACATGGCTTTCCTTTCCACCTCGTGGCCTGCTGGGGGTCACAGAGGTAAAATGGATGAGATCTTGCTTACAAGGAGCTCGCATTTGGTTGTGGAAGAAGACCTTGAAGCCACAACTTCAGCACTCCCAATTCAAGGAAAGACTGCTAGATGCTCCTATGCTCAGGATCCCTCAGGAGCACCTGGATCAGCTGAGAGTCTCCCTGACACGGATGATGCTTGGCTAGAATACTGATGGACAAATGGGAGGTAGCAAGACAGACAGTGAGGGAAGGGCATTCCAGGCATAGGGAAGAGCATTTAAGAAGACATGGGAAAGTCTGATACATTCTGGGAAGCCCAGTCCTGAGTGAGGGCTAAACACCCATAACTCACAAGGCATCCCAGTCGTTGATCTCTATGACCTACAGGACAGAGACCAAACTCTCTCCCTTGACATTCAAAGCCCTTCACAATCTTGCCTCACCTTGCTTCCCATCTCCTCCCCACCTCCATCCTCAAGCCCCTGACCCTTTGTTATAGCCCCTGTGAACAGGCCATTCACATTCTGGTTTCCAGGCCTTTGGACTGGCTGCTCCCTTTGCAGTAATCTTTTTTTTTTTTTTTTAAATCCTCACCAGAGGACATTTTTCCATTTTTTTGTTCAGATAGAGTGGGAGGGAGAAAGAGAGAAACATCGACGTGAAAGGGACACATCGAGTGGCTGCCATCCGCACAACCCAACCAGGGCCGGGGACAAACTGCGGGAACCGAACCCCGGGGTTTCTGGACAGCAGGCCAACGCTCTAACCACTGAGCAAACGGCCAGGGCGGAATGTTCTAATCTTCACTGCGCTAATTCCCTCTCATCTTCCAAGACCCAACTCAGGAGACATCTCCCCTAGAAGCCCTTCCAGAGCAGGAGTCCAGGGCTGCACCCCCAGTGCCTGGAACCCAGCCTGTTATTTTTGTTGAATAATTAATCATGTCAAGGAAATCTACGAGTATCCAAGACAGACACCCCCTCTGCTTTGCGCTGCCTTGGGTGACCTGTGACACTCCCCCACCCTCGAACACTTTTGTCCGTGCTTTGTTAAAGCTTTTTGAGGCAGGCGTCATTTCTTAGGCTCATCGCTTTTTCTTCGGTGCCTGAGTCTGTACCTATCAAACAGGAGGTCCCCAGGACGTGTTTGTTGAATGAATACATGATCAGCACGCCATTCCACATTGTATATCTTGTGGGCCTCCCTGGCCCGGGCCGGTCTCCGCCTCCACCCCTAGCCGGAGTCTCCAGCTGCTGCCTGGAGCGCCCTCGCGCAGGCACGGTCCCCACACCCCGGGGCCGCCGCCCTGGAGACGGCCCCGCCCACCGCGGACTGAAGGGCGGAGGCAAAGCCCACCAAGCCGATCCTTTGGGGATTGGTGCAGCCGCCGCCAGGGGGCGGGGACAGGTCCCGGCTGTCGCTGACGCTGTCTCCGCCAGAAAAGCGCCGCGGGCCGGCAGGCGAGGGACAGACGGCGCGGGCAGGCGGTGGTGAGTGCGTGGCGGCCGGGCGAGGGGCGGGAGCGGAGGACACTAAGCACCGACGCGCTGCTTACGTCCATCTTCCCAAGGGCTGCGCTCGGCCAAGCGCCGAGCCGGAGCCCGAAGCCAGCTCCTCCCGCGGGACCCCGCCCCGGGGCCGAGGAGGTCGTCAGTCCCGTCTTGTCTTCCAGACCCGGAGGATCGAGGCTCCCGGACGACGAAGAAACACCCAACATGGCATCGGAGGTGAGTGGGACCTCGGGGACGCCGGTCCTGCAAGACTCCCGACGAGGGGGAGGGGCGCCCTGGGGGCTCGCTAGGGCCTTGACCTGCGCACGGGATCTCCTGGTGTCACACTCGCCCCTGGCCGCCCTCCTGGTAATAGTCCTTCCTGGCTCCAGGCAGTGGGCACCTGCCAGAGCCTGAGAGAGACCTTTGTCCCTCCAGCAGCCCTCCCCGGGCAATGTGTGTGGCAAACCCACCAAAGCACACTGCTGGGGAAGGCGGTCCCTGTGTAGCAGAATCCACGTGACTCTGGCCTCTGGAAAGAGCCAGGAGGTAGGAGACCTTGCCCTGCCGCCCCAGTGGCCCCAGGGATCAGAAGCTTCCTTTCTTCCTAGAGCCAGAGGACTCCGGGGCTCTCTTCCTGACCACTGAGTGACAGGAGTCTGAGGCACAGGTTCCTTTTCTGGGCCTCAGTTGACTTATCTGGTGAATGGGGGTAATAATAGTTTTCTGCCTCCCTCTGTAAGGCACTAGATCATGAGGTCATAGCTTTGAACCCTTCTGGTAAAAGGCACTGTTCGCTTGATGTCACTGGGCCTGGGAAGCAGGAGGTCTGGGTTCCAGGCCCTTCTGGCCATCATTAGCTGGCAGATCACTTCCTCCCTCTGGACCTGTTGTGTATCAGAATAAATGGGATAAAAATGCCCGCCCTGCTAGCTTCTAGGTCCTGATGAAGGGCTGGGGGCAGGGCCTGGACTTTGGAGCCAAACAAACTTGGTTTCTGAAGCAGGCACTCTACCTCCCTGAACCTCTTTTCTCGTTTGTGAAATAGGGGTGACAGTGCCCACCTCGTAGGAGAGTGTAACAGCACATAATGAATGCCTAGACAGAGCCAAGCAACAGCAGGTGCTCAAAAAGTGGTGGCAAATTATACTCACAATAACAACACTGGTATTTCCCTTGTGAATTCTCAGTTGGCTATTGCTCATTTATCTCAGTCCAACCCAGAGCCCCTGCCCCTCCTAATGAGATCATTCTGGTCCAGATGTTTGCTGGCCTGGAGCAGTGCCCTCTCCCCCCCATAAAGGGCTTCCCCCTCTCCTCATTGTCCAGGTTGTGGCACCTCATTTTGACATCCTTCTGGGGGTCTTTTGAAGCCTGCCAGTGGGGTGGGAGCTTGGCCCCAAGCAGAATAGGCTGCTTTAAGGAGACCAGGGTGCCAGGTGACTTCTGCTTGCCCCAGGCTGTCCTGTGGGTTCTCACTAATTGGTTTGGCTGTAGCCCCACTTGTTAAGTAGTTGTTATTACTAACAACCCAGGCAGGGAGTCCAGGAACCTGATCGCGGAGGTGGTGCCAGATCTCTGGCTAAGGAGCAGGGCCTTGACCTGCACATGGGATCTCTTGGTGCCAGACTTGCCACTGGCCATCCTCCTGGTAATGGTCCTTACTGGCTCCAGGCAATGGGTACCTGTCAGAGCCTAAGAGAGATCTTTGCCCCTCCTGCACCCCATCCTTACTGGCTGGCCCTGGCCCTCTGGCCCCAGTAGTCAGGACTGGGGCCCCATGCCATGCTTTGCTGGAAATCGAGGCTTGCTGGGCAGCAGAGGGTAAGGGGCAGGCCCAGTTCAAAAGGCTGAAGGGGGGTGGAGGCTGCTTCTGCAGGGCAGAGTCCTCTGGTGGCCAAGGCTGCTGGGCACTGAGGGGTCAGCTCACAGCCTGGGGCCAGAGCATGGTGGAGGTCCCATGGTGCACACAGGAACCAAGCTGAGGCACACCCTGGCCCAGCAGTCCTCAGCTGCTCCTTTAGTAATACCTAGAATTTACTGAATCCTTATTGAGTGCCAGGCACTGGGCTATGTATGCACTTAGCAAATTTTATCAAATTGATAGAAGGGCAATCCTGAGACTGTGAGAGGTTATAAAACATGCCTGTGGTCAGGTGGCTAACAGAGATTCAAGACATTGCAGAGGGACAAAGGAGGACATGTCCCCAGTAGCCATATAAATCCCACTCCAGAGAAGAGATGCCAGTGAAGTAGCATGCACCTCCCTGCTGGCATGCTCCCCTAATCCTTGGCACTCTGGGCACTCGGACTGCTTCACAGGTGCTCTGCACCCCCTCCCCCATCTGTCCCATGCCCTGGCCTGTGCCCTCTTTCAAAACAGAGGTGTCTATCCCATATCTCTGCCCTTGGCTCCTGGGGGACAGAGGGTCAGCTGGTGACCTCCTAGAAGGCCAGTGATAACATGTGTGTCAGAGGTTCTCTCCAAAGAAGTTTCAGGGAATGGGACCTTAGGTCCTGCCCAAGCTATGGGAGCGAGATGCAGGTAACTTGCACCTGATGGGGTCCCTCAGGTGTCTTCTTGCCTGTTGTTGCAACAAAAATTCAGAATAGCAGAGCCAGCAGAGGTCCTGGCAGAGCGTGGGCTCAGAGTGTGGGCTCAGAGCCTGGACTGTCCTCAGACTGCTGGCTGCAGTCCTGGATCTACCACCCCCAGCAAGGGCAAAAGATACATAACTGCTCTGTGCTTCATCTCCGCCTCTGTACGGGGATAGCATCGCTGTTTACTTAGATAGAGGGTTTCCGTCAGCACGTGCCAAGCATTTAGAACGGTGCCTGGTAAACAGTGAGAATGCAGTGGATGTTCTCCAGTATTGTCATTATCACTGGTACATAAGAGCCGGATTCAAACTTTGATCAGTTCCACTTTGATCAGTGGCAGGAAAGGCCCCAGTTCTGTGATCTCAGGGGCGCCTTGTACCCTGCCACCCTTCCTGGAGCAGTGTGACGTGGTGGGAAAGAGCCCTAACTCCAGTGTCCAGCCTCGTTCCCACACCCACTCCCTGAGTGACTTTGGGCAAATGCCTGGCTCTCCGTGTGTCAGTCTCCTTCTCTGTCCAGGGAGATAACCCTGCCTGCTGGCTCCCGAGGGTCCTTTGTGAGAGGCACTGTTCTTGAGGTTGGGGAGAAGGAGATTGATTGTTCCTGTTCTCCTGACCAGAGCGGGAAGCTATGGGGTGGCCGGTTTGTGGGAGCAGTGGACCCCATCATGGAGAAGTTCAACTCGTCCATCACCTACGACCGGCAGCTGTGGGAAGTGGATGTGCAGGGCAGCAAGGCCTATAGCCGAGGCCTGGAGAAGGCAGGACTCCTCACCAAGGCCGAGATGGACCAGATACACCGCGGCCTGGACAAGGTACTCTCCGTGCCCCAGGGTCCCCTGAGGACCCCTTCCTGTGGCCCTCAGCTCCCAGCAAATCCCCGAGCACAGGTTGCATTGCCATCCCAAGCCCCTCGCATCCCCTAGTGGTGATTATTTGCCTAGAGAGGTACCCTTTACCCATGTACTGAGCTCACCGTTTCTCTTCATTCTTAATGTCCCTGTGGCCCCATGGCTCATGGGCAAAGGGGCACAGGGCCTGAGATGCTCCTTTGGGGTGAGGGCTGCACAGGCTCCTCCCATGGAGCACTCCCAGGACTCAGCTCCAATACAGGGACAGTCAGTGATCAGAGTGAGGGTGGGAACAGGGCTTGGCCCTGTTGGGTACTGATACCTGCCAGCCTGACCCCTGGGTTGCTGCCATCTGCTACAGGTGGCTGAGGAATGGGCCCAGGGCACCTTCAAACTAAACCCCAATGATGAGGACATTCACACGGCCAATGAGCGGCGGCTAAAGGTACAACCTCCCACCTCCCAGCCCCTGGGCCTCCCCTCTCCACCTTGCTCTGGACCTCTTTGAGCATGAGCACTGTTCCCTTCATCATTGGCAGAGTACGGGTGGGACCCCAGGACAAAAATCCTCAGTAGAGATGGCACAGACTTGGGCAGGGCCAGGGGTCCCTGGGGCAGGGAGGGATGACTACAGGGCAGGGAGGAAGTGTGCCCACCTGGGAGAACCCACTGGGTGGTGAGCAGCAGACCCTGACCCCTGCCTCCCTTCACCCCTAGGAGCTCATTGGGGAAACTGCAGGGAAACTGCACACGGGACGAAGTCGGAACGACCAGGTGCTGCCAGCGCCCCCACCCCCACCCTGTGCTTCCCAACCTTGGGGAGCTCGCCCATCAGAATTGGGGCTCAGCAGCTGTCCTGGCTCCCCAGGGAAGCCACACGTCTGTCTCCCTGAGTGCCACCTCCTCCTCTCCACAGGTGGTCACAGATCTCAGGCTGTGGATGCGGCAGAACTGCTCGGCACTCTCTGGCCTCCTCCGGGAGCTCATCAGAACCATGGTGGACCGGGCAGAGGCGTGAGTCTGCTGGGGACGCCCAGGTGGCAGAGAGGGGCAGGAGGGCAACCAGGTCTCCTCTGCCCTGAGACAGGCAGCTTGAGTACCAGACCTAGGTGGTGGGTGAAGAGGGAAGGGGAGCCAGGCCCTGGGGTGCAGGGGGCCCCAGAACTCCTGGACCGAGTGAGGAAGAGCACCCAGGAGTAGGGCCTTGGTGGCAGTGTCCCCACACCAACCCAGCACAGCAGGCAGGGCAGACTCACCCTCTGAGGATTCATGAGCAGGAAGCTAAGGCACTGGGCAGATGCCCTGAAGCTGAGGAAAGGGGCTGGAGGTGCCTGGGGCAGACAGAGCCCCTCCTCAGCCTGCCTGTGCCCCTCGTCCCCATTTCCACCCAGCATGGCTGGCAAAGGACAGAGCTAAAGGCTCACCCCAAGCTTTGGCTTCTGTGCCCTGACTACTGAGAAGTCTCTGTTTGGTGTCAGGGGCCGGGTTGACCCTCTTCTTTTTCCTAACTCCCCTTTGTGACCCCTTTTTCACAGACCTCACCACCTGGGGGCAAACAAGAGCAAAGGCACCATCACCCTGTGGGGGCTGGGAGGAACAGGCAGTGACTGCTAATGAGGACAGGGCTTCTCTTTTGGGGTAGTGAAATGTTCCAAAATTGTACGCTAAAGTGTACACTTTAAATGGGTGAATTGTACATGAATCCTGTCTCAGTAATGTTTATAGGAAAACAAACCAGAACCACCACCCATAGCCTCTGCCTCTGCCTGCCTGCTCTGCCCTCAGCTCTTCTGGGAGCTTCTCCCGTGCTCCCAGGCATGGCTCCCACTGCAGGTGGGACCCGCTGTGCACCCTGCCCTGGCCTCTGCTCATATCTGCTCCGAGTTGCAGAGACCTAAGCCAAGGGTGTCATCCATGCTTGGTCTTGGCCAAGCCTTACCCCCCGGTCCCACAGCCCTGGGCCCAGGCTTTGGATCCCACTGCCCAACTTCTGGTCTCTTCCCTTACAACTGGTTTGTCCCCAGGAGATCATTCGGTTCCTCCTGCAGGCAGATCCTGGTAGACCTGCCCTGCTTGTCCCTGGAGGGGCCCAGGCCCAGAGGGTCCGGGTGTCCAGGCCTCGCCTGAGCCTCCCGGGCTCCTCAGTCACTCTGCCCCTGCTCTTCCCCCACAGGGAACGTGACATCCTCTTCCCAGGGTACACACACCTACAGAGGGCTCAGCCTATCCGCTGGAGCCACTGGATCCTGAGGTGAGCAGGATGTGGTGGAGGGGCTGTGCTGGAGGGGAGGGCCCTCAGGCTGCCCTGACCTCCCTGTCTCCTGGCTCCCCTCAGCCATGCTGTGGCACTGACCAGAGACTCTGAGAGGCTGCTGGAGGTGCAGAAGCGGATCAATGTCCTGCCCCTGGGGAGGTGAGTGAGGTCCAAGTGCACTGACGGTGGGGGCAGGGTTGCTGCCACAAAGTTAGCGTGGCCCTTGGGGAGTGACAGAAGAGGAGGAGCCAGCAAGGACAGAGGGGACTGGCCTTCCCATCCAGGGTTCTTTGTACATGGGCAGGTGGGACCCCGCATGGACCCTCAATTCTCTCTGAAAGGTAGACAGCCAAGCTAGCAAGTGTGTGAGACAGGGCCAGAGCTCTCAGAGAAGCTCCAGAGAGCCAGCTAGTTGCCCACAGCCTACCTTGTTTCCTGCACGGGGACAAGTGTCGGGCACCAAGCTGACGGCTGCAGCCCTGGCAGCCAGGGCTCAGCTCTGGGTGTGCATGTGTGTATGTCCCTGGCCTGCTTGCCGGGAGCCCAGGTCACTCAGCATCCCCTGTCCCTGCAGTGGGGCCATTGCAGGCAATCCTCTGGGTGTGGACCGGGAGCTGCTCCGAACAGGTAAGCCCCCACCCCGCCCTGAGGGGATCACCATCAGCTTCTACCGGGGTCTTGCAGGGAGGGGCCAGGGGTCTGGGTGAAACCTCTGTTCATTACCTGTGGACGCTGAAGTTAGAGGGCAGGGCAAGGCCTGCGGCGGGGATGCATGGCCCTGGGTTCACTTGGCGCTCCTGCCCCCCTCCTGGGACCTTGCACAGAGACCCGCCCCCACCTCCTGCCCTCCCTACTCCTCCTTCCTGAAAGGGGCCAAGGGGAGATGGCTGGGCAGCCTGGTTCAGAGCAGAGGAGGCCCACCCTTGCCCTCCAGCCTGGCCCTATTGCCTTCCCCTTTTCCCCCTCATCCAGAGCTGAAATTTGGGGCCATCACTGTCAACAGCATGGATGCCACTAGTGAGCGAGACTTTGTGGGTGAGTCCTGGGCAGCCTGCTCATCCCCTGCACTGTGCCCCACCTTTGTCCTCCAGTCGCAGCTTCTCTGCAGCCTCCTGCCACCCCCCAGGCGGTCCACCTGGAGCTTCTCCAGGCAAGTGAAGGGCAAGAGAGGCCTGGTGACCAGAGACCCTGCTTGTCCTTCCCTCCCTCCAGCTGAGTTCCTGTTCTGGGCCTCGCTGTGTATGACCCACCTCAGCAGGATGGCTGAGGATCTCATCCTCTACGGCACCAAGGAGTTCAGCTTTGTGCAGCTCTCCGATGCCTACAGGTAAGGCTGCGCTCTGCCTCGCCCCAGCCTGCTCCCTCCTCTCCACCACAACCAGCAGACCTGCCGAGGGGCAGAGGCGCCCCTTCAGCCCCAGCATCTCTGTCCCCAGCACTGGAAGCAGCCTGATGCCCCAAAAGAAAAACCCAGACAGCCTGGAGCTGATCCGGAGCAAGGCGGGGCGAGTGTTCGGACGGGTGAGAAGGGCAGGGAGTGGGCGAGGCCTCTGGCTGACCCAGAGGGTCCTGAGGAAGCTTACAGGACGGGTTCGAGGTCCATCCTCCTGATCCTCTCTCTGCCCTCAGTGTGCTGGGCTCCTGATGACCCTCAAGGGACTTCCAAGCACCTACAACAAGGACTTACAGGTGCGAGGCAGGGGGGAGGAGGGGCCCACCTGCACATACACCAGTTCTCAGGGCCCTGCCAGCCCCAGGCAGGGGCGCACAGGGTCACCACCTTCCATCCTGTGCTCCCAGACCGGGGCCACCTTGAGAGGTCTCTCCTCTCCCTCGGTGTGGGTGTGGGAGGTGCTGTGTCCCCAGTGGAAAGCAACGGGGATGCCTCAGTGGGGGTGGGCTGCCGAGCCCTCACCTCCTGCCACGTGCCCCCCAGGAGGACAAGGAAGCCGTGTTTGAAGTGTCAGACACCATGAGTGCCGTCCTCCAGGTGGCCACTGGCGTCATCTCCACATTACAGGCAAGACACGCCTCCTCTCCCTGGGCCCCTAAACTGGGATGGGCGTGCCAGGAGGGTGATCTTGAGCGAGGAGAGGGCGGGTGGTCCAGAAGACCTGGCAGGGGAGCAGGGCATGTGTTTGCTCCTGTCTTGGTGGAACAGGGAAGGGACAGAACGGGGAAGTGGTTAGACTCGAGGAGTCCCATCACTTGGCCTGACCAGATCTCCTTTTAAATCATTGTATCATGGGAAATGTCAGTATACAACCATTGAGAAGATGTGTAATGAACCCTGATAAACCAACACCTGGCTTCAGCATTAATCACCTCATGGCCTTTCTTGCTGTGGCAGCGATCTTTTTAATTTTTTTTCTTTTTTTTCTTTATTGATTTTTAGAGAGAGAGAGGAAGGGAGAGGGGGAGAGAGAGATGGAAACATCGGTGAGAGTGAAAATCGATTGGCTGCCTCCTTCATGCCCCCCACTGGGGATCGGGCCCACAACCTGGGCATGTGCCCTGACCGGGAATCGAACCAGTGACCTCTTGATGCATGGGTCAACACTCAACCACTGAGCCGCACCGGCCAGGCTTTGGCAGCTCTCTTTACCCACTCCCCGAGACCCCTCATATTGGACCAAATTCACATCTTCATATCACTTAATTCCTAACAGTTCAGGATGTGTCTCTAAAGCAGTGGTCCTTGGACCTGCAGCGTCAGCCTCACCTGAGAACGTGAGAGACGTGCAGTCCGAAGCCTCCCTGCGGGCACACTGAGTCGGACCCCAGCGTAGGGCCCCGCGGCTCCCATTTGTCACCGATCCTCCGGGCGATCCTGCTGAACAGTGTACATAAGGACTCTGAAAACACAAAGGCAGCCCGTGTAGCACACTAAACCTCACCAGTAATTATGAAAAGATAGCTCGAGCCCAGAGCTGAACAGGGTGGGTAGGAGTGGATCTGCTCCAGGAGGAGACATCCTGGCTGAGGGGTAGGCCTGGAGCTGCCAGCTGCAGGCCTTGGGGTCCCCAAGACTCATAGCTCCTGTGCCCGTGTCCCCAGATTCATCGTGAGAACATGGTGCGGGCTCTTAGTCCCGACATGCTGGCCACTGACCTTGCCTACTACCTGGTCCGCAAAGGGGTACGTGTGGGCGGTGCGGTGGAGGGATGAGGGGACAGGGGTAGGGGTGATTGGAGGGCACGGGTCCCCACAGCAGGGCAGGGAGCGCAAGAAGCCTGCTCCAGTGCTGCCCTCTGCCCGGTACCCGCAGATGCCCTTCCGCCAGGCCCACGAGGCCTCTGGGAAAGCAGTGTTCATGGCTGAGACCAAGGGGGTCGCCCTTAACCAGCTGTCGCTGAAGGAGCTACAGACCATCAGGTGCAGCCCCCTCCCCTCCCTCTGCTGCCTCCCAGGGGAGGAGCCCAGGCCCCTGAGGCTGGGGTGGCTGGGCCGCCCTAGCCCTTCTCCTTCTGTTCCCCAGCCACCTGTTCTCGAGCGACGTGAGCCAAGTGTGGGACTACGGGCACAGCGTGGAGCAGTATGCTGCCCTGGGAGGCACCGCGCGCTCCAGTGTCGACTGGCAGATCGGCCAGGTGCGAGCACTGCTTCGGGCTCAGCAGGCCTAGGTCCCCCCGCCCCGCTCCCAAATAAAGCGGCCGAGAGAAGGCTGCCGCACGTCTCCCGCCTAGCCTGACTCCCTCAGCCGTGGGCTTTCTGGGGTCTGCTGACAGGCAGTGGAGGTCATCAAGGAAGTGGAGAAACTGGACAAGGATGGCGAGTCATGGGTGGGGGACTGCATGTTGTCAGAGCCTCTGCCCTGCTCACACCCCACTGCCTTCCACTGCGGGCATCACAGTGACCTCCTGCCTTGTGTGTCTTGGCAGGACTAGCCTCCCTGGAGCCCTGGTAGGACCCGATGGGCTTGGCTAACCCAGTCGGCCAGTCCGTCTGTCCTTTTTCCAGTGTCCCCCAGGCTCATTCTCCCCTGGCTTAACCCACCCTTCCCTGGACCAGTGTCAGTGCCCCCTGAGGGGAAAGGGATATTTGTGTGGTGCCTGGCACTAGGCTCACCCCACACACGGTTAAGGAGACGCCTCCTCCAGTGGGGCAAAGACAATCTAACCAGCCAACGATGTTGGGGAAATTGGACAGATACATGCAAAAAAAAAAAAAAAAATACACTAAACCACCTTACAGCATATATAAGAATAAACTCAAAATGGATTAAATATGTAAATGTAAGACCTGAAACCATAAAACTTCTCAAAGAAAACATGGGCAGTAAATTCACATTGCTCTTACTAATATTTTTTCTGATATATCTCCTTGGTCAAGGGGAACATACATACATAAAACATAAATGGTACTACGTCGAACTAAAAAGGTTTTACACAGCATAGGGAACCATCAACAAAACAAAAAAGACAACCCACTGAATGGGAGAATCTATTCGCCAATGATACATCTGATAAGGGGTGAACTGAATTGGAGGGGGGACACTATTCAACCCGCTACACTGGGCTTTCAGATTCCTTTACCGACATTTGTTCTATGTCTAACCTGAAGACCATCCTCCCAGACAGGTGAGATGGAAATAAGACGTGCTGCAGGTAGCTTGTCACTGTGTTCTTGTTCCAAACCCAATTTCAGAAACTCTTGTTACCGTTTTAGTTCCTTTCTGTGTTTTTCCTCTCCTGCCCTCTCACCAGCCAGGCCTCCATTTGGCCCTGGACCTCTGTTTCTGCCTACCCCCTACTCCAGCTCGGCCGGAACACTTCCTCCCCGCCCTGAACTCACTGGGAATTGTCCAGGGAGAATTTGAATTTTGAAGTTTCTAGAGCCATCCTCTCCCTTAGAACATCTACTTAATTAACCCCATGAGTTGACACGGCAACAGCTGCTCACTTCTGGGTCATGTCCTAGAGTTGTATGATTCCCACCCAATATTTGAGACAAAGGATTGTCCTTGTTGCTGGGGAAAGGGACTATTGTGAAAGTGGGGGCCTGGTTGGCCTTCCCTAAATGTGAGGTCAGGAGTGGTTCAGTTTGACAGGGTTCCTCTCAGGGTCAGACCCAAAGCAGAGCTTCCATGTGTCACCTTAGCAGGTGGCTGGCCTGTGGCTGGCCCTGCAGAAGGCCCCTGCACCCCTGAAGTGCCTGTGGCTCCCTGGGCAGGCTCCAGAGCTGGCCTGGCCTGGTGGCAAGTGCCTCATCTTTAGCCCTTGCTCCAGTAACTGCTCCCTCCTCTGGCAGACGGGACATGCATCTCTTTTCTTCACTCTTGCCCCTTTGACCTCTGGGGTGTCTTTGGGCATCTTTCCTACTGGCAAGGTAGCTCTTCAGTCTGGAACTGGGGCAGGGGAGGCAGCCCTGGCTCATCCATCTCCCAGCCTTTTACACCTCCAGGGTGAACTCAGACCCCAGGGCAGGCAGGGCCCGGATATTAGGGGCTGGATGGTAAATACTTCAATAAAGGTTCAAAATGTACTAGCTCCCTCAGTGGTTATTTTTCCTCCTTTGCAGTTTGCTTCCTCTGGGGAAGTAGAGCCTCTGGGCTTCTCTTAAGGAAAGGGGTGATAAAATTTAACTCGGGATTCGCTGCGATGTTCTGCTAATCTTGAAAAACATAAAAACACAGCTAAAAACACGTTCTAATTAATTGTGGTACAGAGCACAATTACAATGTAAACACAATTTCAAAACATTTAAGAGGTCAGAGTCCACACAGTATATAGTTTTATTTATGTGAAACATCCATAATAGCCAAATCTGTGGAGACAAGAAGCGGATTAGTGGTTGCTTAGGGCTGAGTGAGGGACAGAAGGACAGGTAGCTAAAGGGTACAGTTTCTCGAGGTGATGAAAATGTTCTAAAATTGTAATGATGATCACATTTATCTGTGATAAATGTTTAAAAACCATTGAACTGTGCACCTGTAATGGATGAACTATATTGTATGTAAATTATATCCCAAAGCTGTTAAAAAATAAACGTTAGGGTGCTCTCTTTGCTGCATCGACTTTGAGAACGAGGACCATTTACAGCAACCAGACTGTTGACATCCCAGAAAATGTCAGCATCACTCTGAAGGGATGCAGAGTTCATGTGAAGGGCCCCAGAGGAATTCTGCAAGAGACTTCATCACTGTAGAACTCAGCCTCCTTGGAAAGAAAAGGAAGAGGCTCCGAGTTGACAAACGGTGGAGAAGAGAGAGAAACTGGCTGTAGCCCACACAGTCTATAGTCAAATACAGCACGTGATCAAGGGTGTTCCCCTGGGCTCCCGTTACAGAACGAGGTCGGTGAATGCTCACTTCCCCCTCAACGTCTCTATTCGAGGAAGTGGGGGCTCTTGTTGAAATCTGACATTTTTTACAAAAACAAAAAAGATTTTTTAAAGAAATCTGACAGTTTTTATATGAAAAATAAATCTATCTTCAGTGTCTATAATAGGCCAGGCATTGCTTGTTCAATATCTCAAGCCCAGAAAGTTACTGGCATTGAATTTACATCAAATTCAGCTGCTTTGATTCATCAAGCCACAACAGTTAAATCAAGGGTATCAGGAAAAATTCAGATGTTATCTATGTCTCTGAAAAAGAAACCAATCAGCAAGCTGATGTATAAGATCTAAGAGTTGTCTAGCTTTATTTATTTATTTATTTATTTATTTTTGTGGTACGTGCCCCTAGCAGGAACCGAACCTGGGACTCTGGTCCACAGGCCGATGCTCAACCACTGAGCCAAGCCGGCCAGGGTAGAGTTGTCTAGCTTTTAAAACAAGAAGATGCCCTGGCCGGTTTGGCTCAGCGGTTAGAGCGTCGACCTGCGGTCCTGAGAGACCCAGGTTCGGTTCCCGCTAAGGGCACGTACCTCGGTTGCAGTTTGTCCCCGGCCCTGGTCGGTCGTGCGGGTGGCAGCCACTCGATGTGTTCCTTTCACATCGATGTTTCTCTCTCTCTCTCTTTGTTCCTCTCTCTCTCTCCCACTCTACCTGAACAAAAAATGGGAAAGTGTCCTCGGGTGAGGATTAAAAAATAAAAAAATAATAATAATAAAATAAAACAAGAAGATGGCAGATGATTCTCAAAACCTATTGGTGATATTTTTTAAATTATCTACTGGGGGAAAAATGGTAAAAGGAAGTCTTAAATTTGTGTTCTGATCAGCTGACCGTCCTGTGACTTGCTTGTTGTGCTCAAGGCAATGACCCCTTCCATCTTTGCAAGGACATTTTGTGTTGCTGCATCCCACCAGCAGGGGGAGCATATTCTATTATTTCCAGTCCTAGGCATCAGAAGGTCCATTGAATGCAGGGTAATTTGGGGGAAGGAGTGAATGTGCCATTTATGATGGTAAATGTAATTTGGGGAAGTCATTCCACCCCTCTGAACCTCAGTTTCCTCACCTGTCACAGAGGAGGAATAACTCCATTTTGTAGTCCTTTGGAGCTGTAGGAATTCATTAGCAGAATCCCAGCTCACGTGGGCTGCTGTTACTATTGTCATCAAGCAGTAGAAACCCAGTGGGCTCACCCACGTGCCCCAGGACCTTTACCCAAGTGATACCCTGTCTGCTCTCACTTGGGGGTCAGGGCCACATCACAGTGGTTAGAGAAAAGGAGAAAAATTGTTGCCCGAGAGTCAGTTTGGCTAAGGCCAGACAGCTCAGGCCTCTGGCTACAAATGCAGTAACATCTGCTGTCCCAGGAGGATGGAGAAGGGAGACGTTCCTTCTGACTGAGGAAACAGAAGAGCTGGTGTCTGAACCAACCTTAGAAAGATGGCTCAGAGAACAGGAGAAAGCATGGCAGCCTCCAAGACAAACCTGAGAAGGTATTTTTGGGTCCAAAGGGCAGGTGTACAAGTTAGAAGTACACCAAGGAATGGGGGAGATACACCAAAGAGTAGCTTAAGAGAATTTGAACCAAAACTGATGACAATTGCCAGGAAGCAAGATCTCAAATGCTCCAGAGACTGACATTTTGCAGTTTCTTCTATGTATTTGAAATTAAAGTGGGAAAGTCAGGAAGATTACTTGAAAGTGACAGAGAGCAAGACAGGGATTGGATGACAGGATAGTTAACAAGATTATGTGCTCTCTTAAGGGTGGTTATACTTATTTCAAAGGTGTGTTAACCTAGATGCACAAAAACAATGGACACGTCTTGCTTAAGGAAAAGATAAACCTTATACTAAAAGTTACATGGTGGGGGTATAACTAGCCACCATGACCTGCTCAGTGAGGAATTTTTTTTTTTTTTTATCCTCACCCGAGGACATTTTTCCAATTTTTGTACAGATAGAGTGGGAGGGAGAGAGAGAGAGAGAGAAACATCGACGTGAAAGGGACACATCGAGTGGCTGCCACCTGCATGACCAACCAGGGCCGGGGACAAACTGCAACCGAAGTATGTGCCCTTAGCGGGAACCGAACCCGGGTCTCTCCGGACCGCAGGCCGACGCTCTAACCGCTGAGCCAAACCGGCCAGGGCAGGAATTTTTTTTTTAATTAAACATTTTTTTTTCTTTATTAATTTTAGAGAGGGAGAGGGAGAGAGAGATAGAAACATCAATGAGAGAGAACATCGATTGGCTGCCTCCTGCATGCCCCCCACTGGGAATTTGGCCCACAACCTGGGCATGTGCCCTGACTGGGAATCATACTGGCAACCTCTTGGTTCATGGGTCGATGCTCAACCACTGAGCCACACCAGCCGGGCCCAGTTAAAAATTTATGATCAGATCACCCTGTGAGGTTACTTTCTTTTTTGTTTTTAATCCTCATCCAAGGATATTTTTACATTAATGTTCAGATAGAGCTGGAGTGGGAGAGGAAGGGAGAGAGAGAGTGAGAGGGAAAGAGAAACATTGATGTGAGAGAGACACATTGATTGGTTGTCACCTGCACAATCCCAACCAGGGTCGGGGACAAACCACAACTGAGGTACGTGCCCTTGGCCAGAATCAAACCCTGGACTCTGGTCCACGGGCGACGCTCTTACTGCTGAGCCATACTGGCCAGGGCCTGTGAGGTTACTTTTTGTAGACTCTCTTTTACATCCACACTTAGAGTCAAAGAGCAGCACAGTGACTTCATTCTTCAGATATACAATAATGATGAATAAGACACAAAAATAAAAGACCCAGGAAGACCTGATCAAGATAAAAGTAAATAA